AGAGGAAGAAGCAGACTCCCCACTCAGCAGAGAGCCCAATGTTGGACTCGATCCTAGGACCCCAGGATCATGACCTGAGCCAAAACCAAGAGCCAGACCTATAACCAACTGAGCCACTGATGTGCCTATATATATATATATACATATATATATATATATAACGTTTTAACGTTTTAAACGTTTTATATATATATAACGTTTTAAAAACCCACTATTTTATTAAAAAACTTGGACAGAAATTAAATACATGGAAGAATGACCCAGTGGCCTGGATTCTTACAATGCTGTATTATTTGAGCATATGTAAATGCTTTGAACAATTCACTGCATTAACAGATATACTGATTTTACAACATGGATTTTAAATGAGCCAATCGTCAGCCAGCACATTCACCCTGCTTTAAAAGACACAGTGAATTCAGATCAGGCTTTTCATTTAACAGGCTGAAATGCACTTAGCACATTATCATTTTGAGACAGATTAAAAGTTAAAGTACATTCAATACTTTATACTTAGACATTTTGAAATGTAGTTTGCATTTTCTCTGAAAGTGTAAATCAAGTTTTAGTTTATGACTTGATTAAAGAAAATGTACTCTTGCAAAAAAGAAATTCATACTCTTCTCCAAGAAATACAATTTTTGTTTTTAAATAGAAAAGAAGGCATTATTGAATACTATTTCATATCCTATAAAGGCAACAGATAAGCACTGGCTATTCCATTTTTATAATTCTCCCTCATATGAAAAAAGCAGAGAAATCAGACCATCTCCTAAGAGGCATAAAACGTGAAATATAAGAGTTCTCTCTTTGACGCTTATTTCTGGAGTTTCAACCAATCCCTCCAGGAAAAGTCTCTCTCCCTCTGTAACTTGCTTCATACTAGAGCCAAAACTTTCTTCCTAGTAGACAGCTCTGAGATCTCCATCCCCAGGCTAAAAGCCTTCTGGTTCTCTTTGCTAATAGAATAAGCCCCAGCCTCCCTCAATCCTTCTTGAGCAGCCCTCCATCCTCCCTCTCCATTCTCCCTGCTCACCCTGAGCACCAGGCAACAAAAGCCCCTCTTTGCTTCCAGAAGGTGGCCTTTCTCTTACCCCCTGCTTCTCCACACCTCCTCTACCCTCTGCTTGGAATGGCCTTCTTTCTTTACCTCACCCACCAGTCATGATCAACACCAGGTCCCCTCTAGGCCAGCTCAAACTCCCCACTTCCTCAAGTCTTCCTAAAATTAAATCCGTTCCTCCTGCTCTATGTTTTCTTTTTCCTTTTATGTAACACTTGATATTTCTGATCTTGCATAAGCCCAGAGAACGAACTGGTGGATGCTACAGGGGAGGGAAGTGAGGGATGGGCAAGTGGATGGAGGGAGTGGGAGGTCATCGCTTCTGGTTACAGAGGAGTTAAGTCATGGGAATATAAGGTACAGCATAGGGATTATAGTCAATGGTACCGTAACCATGCCATCTGGTGACAGGTGGTAGCTACATGTGTTAGCACAACATAACACAGACTTGTTGCATCCCTGTATTGTCCACCCATATGATATTCTATGTCAACTGTACTTCAATTAAGAAAAAAAGCATTTCAGGTCTTCTGTATTCATTCCACAGGCATCACCCAAGATATGCAAGTCTTCAACTCTGTTTCCTACCTGTCCACACTTTATCGCATTGAGACCAGTGGTTGCGTGAAGAACATCTTGGTTCTTCCTTTCGGCCTCATTTCTACTGAACAGGGGCTCACCGTGGCAGGAAAGCATCCATTTAAGGAGCCCAGCTTGGACATGAAACTGCCTACTTCCAGACTCTACTACGTCCCAGCGCCAGGACCCTCGTGCACCTCAGCTCCCTCTTTTGTAAACAGCCATGATACTAAAGCATGCTGAATAAGGTTTTCGGAAAATTAATGATTTCACATATGATACATGCTTCACCTAGGGCTGGTTAGTGAAGCATGATGCAACAGATATTAAATAAAGACCAAAAAAAAAAAAAAAAAACCAGATCTAAATAAATGTGAAAACATACTCTGTAAATCACAAGTTGGAATTACTCGAAAACGGAATGATCGGTGATCTAATGAACAACTGAAAACCTGCCTCTTACGGATACTGAGGATTATGGTGTTTTTTCTATCATACTTATAACTGCATTTTAGGTAGAGGGGCCCCCCGAGCCCCTCATGAGAACGTGGCTCAGGCCACACTGCCTTTAGGCTTTATGTGGTAGAGAACGGTCAGAGCTGGATTTATTTCTCTGTGTGCCACAGCCCTTTCATGTTAGAAACAGAGAGCATAGACCAAATCAAGCACTCCCTGCCTTGACACTTTCCTGTGGCTCCCCATCAACGCTAAGAGCAAGCCAAAGTCCTTCAAACGTTCAGACTGGCAGCGTCTTACAGCTTTCCCATGACACTTCGTCCCTGTGTCCTTCCTTATTCCACATTTGTGATTGCCCCCCCCAACCCCTCCAGGAGACTCCATTCCATCCACACTGTCCACTCCAATATGTCTGGGACTAGACATTCAGGGTACTGCCTTAGAGCCTTGGAACGTGGAAGCAGTCCTGCCTGGAACCGTTTCCCCAGATAGCCACAGGGTTTTCTTTCTCACCTCCTTAAGTTCTCATTCAAATGCCCCTGGAGTGAGGTCCTTCCTGGCCAGCCCACGGAGAAGTGCACCCCTTCCCTGGACATAATCTTGGAGCTTTGCTTTCTATAGGGTACCTTTCACCATCTAACATGCTGTCTTGCTTTTTGTGGGTTTCTTTGTTTGTTTTGTATACTGACTACTACAACCCAAAGGTAAGTTCTGAGAGAAGATAACTTCACCGCTGTCACTGTTAGAGCTAAACTAAAACTAAACTAACTAAACTAAACCTAAAACAATGAGCAATGCCTGGCATAAAGCAGACACTCAATAAATACTCCTCAAACAAATGAATGTATAGATCTTGGGCACATTATCAGCAACCAGAATAAAGTTAAGGGGGTCAGGGGCTCTTTGCATTTAAATGAAAATTTTCATAGAATCATTCTACCCTGCATCTTGAAAGATAAAATGCAAAAACGGCACTAACTTGGGTCAGTGGTTCTCCACCAGGAGTGATTTTGCCCCTCCTTGGAACATTGGCAAGGTCTGCAGACATCTCTGACTGTCACTACAGTGATGGGTGGATGGGTCCTCCTGACATCTATTGGGTAGAAGTCAAGGATCTGCTAAACATCCCACAGAGCACAGGACAGCGCCCCACAACAGAGCATGATCCAACCAAAAATGTCAATCATGGTAAGGCTGAGAAACCCTACACCTGATTTAGCCAGAGGTAATTTCTTAGATCTAACTCAACAGCATTGAGACATTGTACATCATAAGGGAAGAAGGGAGGGAATAAGTGGGTTAATTTGTTGGTATTATAGAAAACTAATTACACAAAATTTTTACACATAAAACAGAGGGAGGTTTAAAATCACACCAAGGAGTGTTCACCCAGCAAGGAATAAAATATGTTACTACATATTTATCTATTAAAAACAAGAGGACAGGGGCACCTGGTGGCTCAGTTGGTTAAGCATCAGACTCATGATTTTGGTTCAGGTCATAACCTCGGGGGCCTCAGATCGATCCCCACATGGGGCTCCACACTCAGTAAGGAGTCTGCTTGAGATTCTCCTTTCTTTCTCCCTCTGTCCCCCACCACACACACACTCTTTCTTTCTCTCAAAAATAAATATTTTTTTAAAAATCAAGAGGAGAAATGTCTCTGTCCCATCTAAAAGAATTGAGGAAAAAAAGAAACTGAATTGTAAAGGCGGGTCTTCCCTTTAGACCTCTCTAAAATTGTATTCCATGCTCTTGTTACTGTATTAATTCAGGAATAACTGACAAAGTTGTAGCCAAAGAGAGAGAGAGAGAGAGATCCCAAATTATCATCTCCTCCTGGAGAGTCAGTGTAGTCTGCTGCTGATGGCTCTGAGTATTTGGCAGGAGCCAAACTGACAAGGGAAAAGCTGCTCCACCCCTTCTCTTAGAGGAACAGTCAGGATAAGAGAAATTGGGGAGAAATTAACCAGGCGATCAAAACCCATAGAGATACTGAGAGATGTAGTGCTTCTGGACTGTAAGCATCATGTGAGCTAGTCTAATCTCATGGTTAGAGCACAGACTCTCCTGCTACAAAAATGTACTAATAGCTTTGGAGAAATAAGTCTTTGGGAAGAAGTAAATAAAGCCTTGCTGACTGATAAGACCATGACATCTCTACAATGAAACATTAATTGTTGAGTGAAAAACTGAAATTCTCTCTTCTGGAAGAGTACATTTGGTACAAACATTAATGTCCCATTAATAGGTAAATTCAGATCCCAGCTTCCCTCCTTTGCCCATGTAAAGGTATCATGTGGTACTTTCTCATCTGACATCATAGGATATTATTTCATTCAGCTCTTAGCTTACTCTAGTATGTTATCTTTTAACTAGACTACTGAAATGGCACTCTTTTTCCAAGAGAAGCTCTCTGCTCTCTTCCAGAAAGCATTTTTTGAGGCTGAAAGCAAACCCTACTACTATAAAGACAAATAGAACTTTTGAGAGAATGGTCTTCAGTAGAGCTAGGAAAAACTTTGCAGTTACCAGGAATTAATCTTTGAAGAAATGGGTACTAAGGAGATAATAAAGGGACGTGTGTATGTTTTCATTAACAAATGGAAAATCAGTCATAGATCTATATTCCTTGAAACCAAACAGAAACCCCCACTAAAAATGAATTGAAAGACTAGTCAAAATGTTCTTGTTGGTTAAACCAATATTCAACTACATGATTGTTACTTTATATCTGAAACTACTGAAAAAACTGGAAAACGTTAAGGAATAAAATAGTTGTTTCTTGCTATAGCTAGGAGGATCTTTTCCCCAGATTGACAAATATAGAACAACTCTAGATCATAGAAACTTGTCAACTGTAAAATGACTTACGAACTGGGTATTAACTACAGTAACTTACGGACAGCAAGGGAATGGCAACTTTTCCAAGAAAATCAGGAGGTTTATCTCCATCTTCATCAAAGACTGTCACTTCCAAAACATCATGGATATCTTTAATAGGACTGAAACAAGAAATTTATCATGTATTATATACAAAAATACACAAGTGGAGTCTGTTCCATGAAGATCTGAAAACACGGTTTCACTAATTAAGCCTGTATGTCCTTAGAGTATAAAACTACCATTTAATTAAATTCCAAAAATTAAATCAAACTGAACTGTATTCCCAAACCTTCCATCATAGAAGATTCAGACATCCATATGAAAAAAAAAAAGTCAACTTTTTTTACTATGACATTTTCCATGTATACATGCACTCAAGGGTAGGACTATTAAAGAAACAGGAGGATAAAGAAAAAGAGACAGAATGAGGAGCTAAAAGGCCAGTGATTTCAAATAGGCAATAAGATTTTCTTTACATTAAATTAATGAAAAAAATAAATAAATTAATGAAGAATTCCCTTTGGGGAGGGGGAAAGAAGGTGATCAAAATCATTATTTGCTGAGATCCATAGAAAGCTTCCCATTGTTGAAAGACAAAATATTAAAACTCCCATGCATATTTAGAAACATTTTTTTATGTGGACCAGAAACCAAACATCACCTATAATGAGAAATGGAGCCATGGTCATCAGCTGTGTTTTGAGCAAACAAGAAACTCTTTCATATGGCAGTTTGCAAACCTGCTCAGAGGAGTTAATCCACTTCTCATAGATCCTTGGGAACTTTCTCTCATCAGTCTTTTAGTTTTCAGAGTACAGATCTTTCACCTCTTTGGTTTAGTTTGTTCCTAGGTATTTTATTATCTTGGTATAATTATAAATGAGATTGTTTTATTATTTTTTCTTTCTGCTGCTTCACTATTAGTGCATAGAAATGCAACAGATTTCTGTATAATGATTTTGTATCCCACAACCTTAACAAATTCTTTTATCAGTCCTAGTACCTTTTTATGGAGTCTTTAGAGTTTTCTATATTATGTCATCTGCAAATAATGAAAGCTTTACTTCTTCCTTACTAATTTGGATGCCTTTTATTTCTTTTTCTTGTCTGATTGCTGTGGCTAAGACTTCCAGTGCTATACTGAATAAAAGTGGTGAAAGTGCACATCCTTGTCTTTTTCCTGTCCTTGGGGGAAAAGCTCTCATTTTTTCCCACTGGCTATGATGCTAGCTGTGGGTTTTTCATATAAGGTCTTAATTATGTTGAAGTATACTCCCTCTATGAATGGATGTTATATTTTGTCAAATATCTTTTCTGCATCTATTGAAATGATCATATGTTTTTTATCCTCTTAGTGATGTGATGTATCACATTGCTTGGTTTGCAAATATTGAACCATACTTGTATCTTTGAGAATAAACCCCACTTCGTTGTGGTGAATGGTTTTTGTTGTTGTTGTTGTTGTTGTTGTTGTTGTTTTAATGTATTGTTGGATTCCATTCACTAATACCTTGTTGAGGATATCTGCATCAGAGGTACTGGCTTTATAGTTCTCTTTCTTTGTGGGGATCTGGGTTTGGTCTCAGGGTAATGCTGGCCTCAAAGAATGAATTTGGGAGTTTTCCCCCCCTTCCACTTTTTGGAAAAAAGTTTGAGAAGAATATGTATTAACTCTTTAAATGTTCAGTAGAATTTACCTGTGGAACCACATGGTATTGGACTTTTGTTTGTTGGGAGGTTTGTGATGACTGATTCAATTTCGATCCTTGGGAGCTTTTATTTGGAAATCATCAACTCCATTCAAAACATATTCATTCAGTTACAAGCACAGCATTTCTTCAGTGTTGTGAGGGCAGTGAACCACCATTTGACCCCAATCAACAGGTGCCTCCCCTTGATGGCCAGGTACCTCAGAGTCTAAAGCACGCTAGGAAATAGATCTAGCCTTCTAAATGCCTGAGTTTGAAAGACTGGACATGGCTTCTCTGTGGGGGAGCTGGTCTTCAGACAAGCTGGAATACAAAGACACTTTGGAACTCTTTGAGGAATCACAGATAATCTATATTTTCCAAAAGACTCTGCCATAATATAAGCCTTTAGATATTACAATAATGTTATAACATATAAACCTGAATTTAAGGCAGGTCTTCATTTGTAATTTTCTTTAACCCAGGAATGAATTAGTCTGGATAAATGGAAGTGTCCATCTACTCACAGATTAATTGAGCTACTGAAAGATCTACTTTACAAATGCCTCCTATAACCCTAACCCTTGCAGTTCCAAATGGCCTCTTCTATTATTAACACTATACTCTATAAAATGAAAGGATAAAAGGTTTTCAGAAGGAAAAAAAAAACAATAAAATTCATTCTTTGCACATAAAAATGGATAGAAAGTTCCACTTAAGAGCCCCAGTCTGCCCCACACATATCAAGGATAATTGATCTCTAAGTTAAAAACACTCCTTGATATTCTGGAGGCTTAAGAAAGCACTTACAAGGTAAAAACTTTGTTCCACTCGGGGTTGAGGTTTTTGTAGATGGTGTGTGTCTGAAGTCGGTCGTTGCCTAACTCCAACAGGCAAAAAGGATCACTCTTCCCTGGAAAGAGAACACAGGACATTGGTCAAGGCAAAGGCAGTTCCCTGATCAGAGACAAAGGAATCTCAGAAGTAGAAGAGGCCAAGTGAGTAAAATCCAGGCAGGTTTATACCAATAAAACTGTGCTTGCTGAAAGAGCAAAAGTGAGCATCTCTTTCCAGCAAGGCTTGTGAGGGAGTTCAGGAAACAGAGAGAACCTGTTAGTTCAGGAACTGTAGCATACTTAATGAACAGGGATGGATACACAACCCAGATGCAGCCTTGAGAGCCAGTGACCACAACAGGTTGCATAAAAGCAACTGTCAGTCTTGCACATGAGAAAGTTGAGTTTTGTGTTGTTTTAAGATTTATTTATTTATTTATTTGAGAGAGAGCATGAGAGGAGAGAGGTCAGCAGGAGGAGCAGACTTCCCACTGAGCCGGGAGCCCAATGCGGGACTTGATCCCGGGACTCCAGGATCATGACCTGGCAGCCCCCCAACCAACTGAGCCACCCAGGTGCCCCGAGTTTTGTGTTGTTTTAATATAGAAGCTCGCGTCCATTTCCTGCTTAAGTTCTCCTTGAGTCAATATAGGAAAGTACTCAGCTATGCAGGAAGCCTATGGTAACCCAGAGGCTTCAAGGTCCAGAGAGAAGAGAGGAAAACGATAAACACGGCTACTAAGGAGCTAAAACTGCCCTGTGGGGGGAGTGGCCACAAACACATATGATCTGATATATTCAAATACATTATGAGAATACAGATGATGCTACATTTTTGCTGCTCATAAACATGCAAAAGTAGAATTCCACAAAGTCCAACATTTTTATCTTAAAAAAAAAAAAAAGAGTCTTAACCCCGACTTCTCTCATCTCGCGTCTTCCTTTTCCACCCCACCTCATACATCCTCCAAAAGAAAAAATAAATAAATAATAGAGTTAGAAAATCCAAAATCCAAAGTGGGACCCAGAAAGTTATTGCAAAAAACAAACAAAACAATGCTCTCCCCTTTCATTGGGTTTGACAGTGGGATCCAGAATTGGAACTGTCAGGGACAGAATGGATGGCTCTATAATGTCCATATAACCGAACACATTGCCTGCCTCTGTGGCACAGGGACACTTTACGAAGCGGCGCATACTAAATTAATTGGGGGCATGAGGACAGATGTTCTGCCAACAAATGGCCAAGGAATCACAGGCCAGGGTCTAATGCCGAGAGTCCTTGGGCTTCTTGACCTACTGGCCTACCGTTCAGGTCATGGAACCTACATCTAATTAACTTAATATCCTGGAGCTCCGAGGTACAGCACATCAATAAACAGACTGACAGGTTCAAGAGACTCCATGAAGATTCTATGTCAAAAATAGAAAAAGAGGAAGAACAGATACATGACGAAGGGTATTAAACAGGAGATTCTGTTCAACGGAATAGTGTTCTAGACATGTAGATGCCTGGCTAAGCTTTTAAGCCAATGCTATGATCTCAGTGGCCAGTAGACAATGACCAAGTCATGGACATAAATGAATGAGTTGGGGTTGTCAGTTATAAACATGGGAATGGCCCCTGTCTCAATTTAGCGAAATAATATCAGAGAACTCTCAGAATCATGGCAAAGATTGGAAAATCAGGCTGGAAAATTACTAGAAACCCAAGAAGGGTTAAAAATACTCAGGCACAAGAACCTCCGTCACTCTCCCTCCCCAGGAAAAGTCTGGCTTCTGCTTCCCAGGAAAACTAGCCTCACAGGTCCTCGTGTTACTGGACCCTGGGTGTGGCTGCCTCTAAGGCGAATTATCCGCCCCTGCTTTTTTGCTGCCCTTGATGCAGAGGGAAAGACCTCCAAGAAGGATCTAACTGTTCCCGCCTCATCAAGCACCCAGGCCCTAAATGCCAGTGCTCAGAAAAGAAGGACTGGCTTTTCATCTTCTGTCCACACAAGGACGCTCTGACCTCTTCTCCAAAACATGCAACATGAACCTCCCCAAATTTACAAGGGGTTTAGATGCTGGGCAGCCACAGTCAAACCAACACAAAACCCATTCCTCGGCATCTCACAAAAAAGCCTTGCTTACTTAAGGCAAGTGAGCTTTACTCTGGGGAGTGTGTTTTGCAGGGCAAGGGGGTAGGCTCTGGGAGGGGAGGAGCTGCGGACAGAGGAGGGCAGATTTGCCTCTTTCAGAGTCAGGAGCATGGAGAGAACACGTGCTCCACTCTTCAGGTTTCACTCTTCTTCCTCTCAGGTAGAGGACGCCGGCTCCCCCGACCCGTGCTAAAGCAGCCACTTAACCATTTGTCAGACTGTTAGTAGGTGTCAGGGCTGCTCCTTCTGAAACCCCAACATGACATGCCATCAGCACTCCCTCCTGGGAAACCATCTGACACTTTTAATGAAAGCCCTGGGGTTCCTCCACAGCAGGGCCGAGCCGCGGCCGGTCCTGTGCATGCACAGGTGGGCTGGAGCTGTGGCCCCCTCCCTCCCAAGCCAGCATACTCTTAGCTGTCCCAGCTAATGAGGAACAGACTTCCTTCCAGAAACCGGGAACTTCAGTTATGCGTCTCCAAGGAACACACGGCACCAACTCTCTGAAGGTGATCCCATCAAAGCTCATTAAAATGCTGCATTTATTAATATTATAATATAAGCAGGCGGAGAGGAGGAAGGAGAAACAAAGACATTAAAAGATGTACAGAGTCACTTCTTTGCACTTTACGGATTGCTTTCTCTCCCTTAAAAGTTTCCAGATAAAAGGGGATTTTCTAGAATTTAAATAATGAATACATTCATTGGAGATAAAGATGACGTCCCGTCATAAATGAGATGTCCCAATGTTCTCCCAATGGTACTGAGCAAACAGCACCAGACAGACTGACATATACACACAGGGTCTGTGCTTTTTGTCTCTGGTCCCCAAAGTTCTCTAAGTGAAACAGTCAGATGACCTCCCATACCCCCGGGTGGCCTGCCACCTTGACACGGATACATCACTGGTGATTTCAGCTCACGGACCTGTTTAGCACTTTGCCCTCAATAGGCTATGCTACTTTTCAACACCACTTTATAATGTGTTTCTATTCCTTGGATGGCAAGTAGAGGTTTCTCACTGAAATAATTTTACTTTTATGTCAGTTTCAGAAATTGAATGGAAGTAATACACGTACTGCAGAGGTCCTACCACTCATCTGACAGATATTTTTTAAGCACACACTCTGCTCCTGGCACTGAACCAGGCTCTGATGGACACAGCCCACCAAGGCATGACTTCTAAAGGACTCTCATACCAATCTCTGCTTTTCAGCAAATGCCACCTTTCCAGTGAAGACCTTCCTTGTGCTCCCTGCCCAGAGACTGTGTTGCTGCCATTTCTGCTGTCCAACTGTGTGTTTTCCTTACACGTCTCATATTCCACATCTGCACATTCCTGTTCCATATTCAGTCCTGTATTTCATTTGAGGGTCTGACGCAGGCACACCCGAGGTGTACATACCCCTCCGTCCCCCAGGAGGGAGATGTGCCATGGTCAAGAGTGCCATGCCCCAGTGAGAGGGTCCAGCAGGCTCTTCGTGGCCAGCACTAGCTAGAGGGGCCCACCTGGCTCCTTCTGCTCTAAGCGGGTAACCATGAGTTAGGCAGTTTCTCATTCAGTCCTCACATCATCTCCAAGAGGTGAGGGATGCTCATGCCATTTTGCAGAAGAGGCACCTAAAGTTCAGAGAGATTCAATGTGGTTGGTCCAAGTCCGAGAAGATCTCATCGTGCAAATGAATCTTAAAGCAGATGTCACTGGGCTAGCAGAAATGGGTGGGTTAATCTTGAGGAGATAAGGACAGAGGAGAGCTTTAAATTAACAAGATAGACAGACATGCAGAGAGATACAGATACATAGTGGCAATCATGACATGTGAGATATGGATAAATAAATGCTGAGATGAGCTTGAAGCCTTGAAGGCCATGACCAGTACTTTTCATTTAAATGCGCTTCTTTTATTCTCATCCAGCAGTCAGGAGCCACCGCAGACCGTCAGCACGGGGGCAGGACCAAAGAAAGAATTTCCAGAGGAAGATCATTTCTGAAGCTAAGCACGGAGCATCACAGCGCAGACAAGAAGGGTAGGGGGCAATAGAGCCATGCCAGGCTGAATTTCTACAAACTCTCCCTTCATGTTTTGTTTCCAACCACATGCTTATAACCCTTACTAGAGCATACTGGAGCAAATTCTAGGTGCTCATCTGAAAATTTGTTCTCTGACAATTTACCCAACACGATCCATCCTGATCCCTATTCCCAAACCCTCTGTCGAGGCTGGTGTGTCTTTCCCCCACTCCCGACCAGCATGCAGAGGTGTGGGGCTCAGACAGCCTTCCTCCACTGCTTGTGGGATGACCAAGTCTCCCTGCAATGCTCTCTTAATCCCTGATCCCAACCCAAAACACAAAGGCCAATTAGCCTCCAAGACCTAGTTCAAGATGTATCATCTTCGCAGAACTTTCTCTACAACCACAGGCTCCCAGGAGCCTTCTCTTTCCCCCCAGCTCCTATGATGATTGATTTGAAACTCATAGGCCTCAAATGAAAATTATAAGGCCTATGACGTGCCTGCTCCTCTAGTCAACAATTACTTTATGATCCCTGCAATGTGGAAAACACGGTGATCGGAGCTAAGAGGGATCTTCGAAGAAAAACAAACATGGATGTCTATGGGTGCTGTGTCTAACTTTTCAAGTATGTCTTGCCTTCCCGAGTGACTGCAACCTTTGGGAATCTGTAGAATGGCCTCTGCGGGGTCACCCAGGTGAGGACTTGCTCACGTTACTGCTGCAGACATCCAGAGCAAGGGGCAGACAAACCTGTATTAGGACTACAAGATCCACAAAGGACGAGAAGATCTTAATTTTGCTGAAGTGTTATTGAACTAAATTTCTGATAGTCTACTTTTCTAACACAAGCACAGAACATATAAGAACTCATGACATAATGGGGCTCCTGGGTGGCTTAGTGGGTTAAAGCCTCTGCCTTA